AAGCAGAGGGGGCCGAGTGGGGGTGAAGAAGGGTGGGGGGTGGGAAAGTGTATATCGCCAGTTACCGGTTGTTCGGTCTCCTGCTGGAAGCTCCATGAAGCTGCTTTCTCGTACCCCCTATTTGCTGGTCTCTGATAGGAGTCCAGGATGATGGATCTGCACTACGTTAGCTAATAGGGGACCTCTGCATGAATCTCTCCTTGCGCTCCATTCTCTGTCAGTTTTCTCACTCCATTTGGTGCTTAGCTGAGTTCTTTATCTCTTCATTTGATGTTTTAGGGTGTCGGGATTGCTGTTTTCTCTGTTTGGCTTAGTTTTTCAGATCTTTGCTGTGGAGGGATGGCGTGGTGCTTCTGCCTCGAGCGCCATGTTGCAGGAAGTCCCCATGACTGCTTTTTTATTCCTTCCCTTTATCCCTTCATATTTTTCCCCAAGGAAAGGAACTCACTGTCTATATTTTGCCCAAATATGTTCCAGATGCACTGTAAGTTTTTGCCTCATGCTTCTGTATCAGTTTCGGGGAGGTCATAAATCAACAGTCTGTGGATGGATGGGCTCAGACCAAAAATGTGCCTTTGAAAGTGCATAGCATCTCTCTCCTCCAGCAGCTGCAGCCTTTTATTAATGGCTCAGGAGTCTTTCACACCTCCTTTTAAATCTAGTGTATTTGAAGTAATAAAACAGTGAGCAGTTTACAGACAGGAAATATTAAAATATTTAATTGCCTTTTTTTTTTTTTTCTTTCTTGGCACAGAGCAGACTGCCTTAGGCTTTCTATAACATATGAACAAAGGACACCTGTCCATGCTTGAATGGACATGAAATGGGGAATTGCTAAATTGGATACATCTGTAACCAAACCTCTGCTTCTAAACCCACATCAAGTCATTTTTTTAAATTAGTTTTCTAACCATTTCCTTTCAATTGCTTTCTATTTTCTTCTTCCTTCTCATCTAGGTTACAACAATCACAGAAGAGAGTAAACTGATAATCATGCCCAAGATGATTCCTTAATCTATTTCAAATAGCAATGGTGTACAACTTGAACCTGAAAATCATTCCCATTGTCCAATCCTGTGGGTTGTAATCCAGACCTTCAAACCCTTCTCAGAGTAACAGCTAAATGTTAAAGTATTAATCAAATCACTAAAGCCTTTTGACAACTCCTCTGACTATATGGTGGAGTAAGACAGCCTCTGGTCAAGTCCTAGCTCTACACTTACTAGTCGAGTGACTATAATCCAAAAAACCAAACCTGCATTGAGTCAATTCCAACTTATAGCGGTCCTACAGGACAGAGTAGAACTGCCACATAGGGTTTTCAAGGAGTGGCTGGTGGATTTGAACTGCCAGCCATAACTATGGACAGGTTATTTAGCTTCTTTGAGATTCAGTCTCCTAATCTGTAAATGGGGATAGTCAATAGTGCATCTTACAAGGGGCAGTTGTGGACATTAAATATGATTCATCAAGTACTCAATGTGTGGTGTTTGGAACATGTGAGTCCTTGTGTTAGTTGTCCTTTTATTAAAATTCAGTCTAAAAGAGAATCGTTCATAAAGCAGAAGAGGGTATGACTAGCACTCTTCTATGAACATACAATAGTACAAGAGTATCTTGCCAAAACCTACATTTGTTTCCTATTGCTACATAATAAATTACCACAGACTCAACCTCTGAACAACATCCATTCATTAGCTCATGGTTCTGTCAGTCAGAAGTGTGGCATAAAGTGACTGAAGGGTTCTCTTCTCAAGGTTGCACAAGGCTGAAATCAAGGTGTTAGCCAGCTAAGTTCTGGTTTAAAGACACTGGAATAATCTGTTTCCACACTCACATGGTTGTTGGCTAAATTCATTTCCTTGTGGCACTGAGTCCCCATTTTCTTCTGGCTGTCATCCAGGGGTCTCTCCCAGCTCCTAGAGGCCACTCTCAGCCTCTTTCCATTTGGGTCTCTCCATCTTTAAAGCCAACAACAGAAAATTTCCTTTGCATAGAATACCTCTCATGCTTTGATTCCCTCTGACTTCTGCCACCAGGCAGAGACAATTCTGCTTTTAAAGAGGTCATGTGATTAGGTTAGGCCAACCCAGGTAATATTCCTATCTCAAGGTCAACTGAGTAGTAACCTTAATTTCATCTGCAAAATCTCCTTTGCCACGTAACGAAACAAAATCATGGCAGTAACACCAGGGAGAGGAGATCACAGGGGCCATCATAGAATTGACTCACAAAATATTAATAATAGGGGTTGGGATGAAAACCATATAATTTAAGACAGAGCCAGGAAGGAATGTAGCAGCCTCCAAACCACTGTTTCTGGACTCCATCCTTGCTGCCCTCAAATCCAACCTTCATAGAGCCACCTGCATTAGTTATCTGAAAAGCAAACCTTATGAGATCCTCATTGTCTATAAGATCAAGTTTAAACCCGTAACCTGATCCACAAGGCCCTCCATGATTTGTCTGGTCTCGCAAAACTATCTTTCAAGCCCCTTGCTAATTCCATGTTTATGCTTTATGACTTAGAAATACCAAACTGCTGATTGTTTCCTTCATTTACCATGATGTTTCTTACCTCTATGACTTTATTCAAGCTGGACCCTCTGCCTGGAATGCCCTCTACATTTTCACCACCTCTTTGCCTAGGTAACTCAGATCCTCCTTTAATTTTCTCAAGCATTATCTAATTTACTCATTCATTAATCCAATGAGTAAATATTGAACATCCATTCTAAGCCAGAGACTAGGTTATAGTGATGAAATAAACTCACACAATCTCTGTCCTGATACAGTATACACTCTCGTTAGGCATAGACAGTTAAACAAAGAATTACAATGCCATAGCAAATACAGGCAGTCCCTGGATTATGAAGGAGTTACAATTCTAAATCTGTCTTTAAGTCAAATTTGTACGTTAAGTCGGAACAGTTAGGCACAGTTCATATCTAATGTATCTAACGTCAGTTAGGCAAATGTTTCTCTTAGTGTGTAGTATGTAGTATACCTTTCTATGCATAAAAACATTAAAGAAACATTTCCAGATACACTAAAACATCTTTAACATAATAATACAGTAATAATAATGTTTCGATGTATGTCACAAAGTAGCACCCGTTTGCTATTACAACCATTGTATGTACCTCAAATTTTTAATATAATAGGCTTTAAGGGAGCTGGTTTGTAAATACAGGTTGTACATAAGTCGGACATTCGTAACCTGGAGACTGCCTGGTTAAGAGGCATTTAACCAGAGAGGGAAGTGTTCTAGAGGAAGTGACATTCAAGCCAAGACCCAAAGCATGGGTAGGAGTTAGCCAGGTAAACGGGGTGGGGGGTAGTTTTCAGACAAAGGAAATAGCATACAAACATCCACGTGTTAGAAAGAACCTGATTACTTTGAGGAACTGAAAACAGCTGAATCTGACTGGAGAATGGAGTACTGGGGGCAGTATAGAGTCTTTCTCTGGGGCAATGGGGAGCCTTTGAAAAGTTTAGGGTTAGATTTGTGTTTTAGAGAGATCTTCCCCAGCTGGCCTCCAGATAACAGATTAGGGGAGGGACAGACAAAAGGAGAGGAAACCAGCAGAGAGGCCAGGGCAGTTATTCAGATCAGAGGTGACAGTGGCTGGTTTTGTGTAACAGCAATAGTGGTAAAGGGAAACCGACAGATATGAGAGAGATGACACCAACAGGAACTCGGTAATGATAGGATATTGGGGGTGAGGGAGAGCAATGCCCATGTTTCTAGCTTAGGCAGTGGGGTGGATGCCAGTGTCCACCACTAACAGAGAGAACATTGGTGGAGAAGCGTGTTTGTGGGGGAAGATAATTGTTGCCAAATGGCTTCTAGGATAACCAGTAATTTACAGAGCCTATTTCAATTCGTCCTAGCCCACCTGTGTGATTCACCTACATTAAGCAACAAAAGAGCCCCAGTTGTTGAATACATGGGCAAGAAGGGAACACATATAAATGGCACCAGTCACTTGTTCCCCTAATTATCCACTGCTGGTCCCAGGGTAGAAGGTTCTCGTCATCTGGGATTTCTTAGTCAGCATAGGCAAGGATGATGGAGAATGATGGTAACAGCCCTTTGCTGTTTCCGCTGAAGTAAGAGTACTTCCCCCGAGATATCTGCATGGCTCACTCCATTCTTCTCTTCTCAGGTTTCTACTTAAACATTATCTTATCAGAGAGAACTTGATGACCACCCTTTATAAAAGAACAAAATCTTCCACCCACTCCCCAGCATATCCTAGTTTGCTTTATTTTTCTTCATAGCACTTATCACCATCTGACAGATATGTGTGTATGCATGTGTGTTACTGTCTCCTTTAGTAGAATATAAGTTCCACAAAGGCAAGGACTTTCTCTGTTTATTCACTGCTGAATCTCTACCTCTAAAGCAATGTTTGGCACACAGTGGGCACCAGTAAATATTTGTTGAATGAATGTAGGCATGAAAGTCTGTTGTTCAGGAGAAAATTAGATGAGATTATAAAAATGATATTAAGCTCAACAACAAAGAAAAAAAAGAAACAAACAAAATGATATTAAGCCCATGTTGTTGTTGTTAGCTGCCGTCAAGTTGGCTCCTGACTCATGGCAACCCCATGCACAATGGGATCAAATCTTTGTGATCCATAGGATTTTCACTGGCCGATTTTCAGAAGTAGATTCCCAGGCCTTTCTTCCTAGTCTGTCTTGGTCTGGAAGCTCTGCTGAAACCTGTTCAGCATCATAGAAACACACAAACCTCCACTAACAGACAGCTGGTGGCTGCACATGAGGTGTATTGACTGGCAACTGAACCCAGGTCTCCCGCACAGGAGTTGAAAACTCTACCACTTAACCACCACTGCCCTCTATTAGGCTCACAGGAGTAAATAAATTTTCTCAGGAAGAGAATATAGAGTTAGAAGAGATCCCTGAAGAATTCCAACATTTACTAACCTTTAAATGATGAGCTGTAGGAGAAAAGTCTACATAAGAGTGAGGTGCTCGTTTTGGCAGCACATATACTAAAATTGGTATGATATAGAGAAGATTAGCATGGCCCGTGAACAAAGATGACACACAAAAGAGTTAGAAGGGGCAGTCAGGAAAGCAGAAGAAAACCAGGAGAGTGGGGAGTCAGAGAAGCCAACGGAGGAGGGTGGTCATGAAGGAGGTGTCAATAGCGGCAAAGGCAACCAAGAAGACAAGAAACGGGCTGGGAAGTCTCCACTGAATTTAGCAACCAAGCTGTCATTAATGGCATTTATTGAGAGCAATTTAGGGGAGAGGTGAAGATGAGGGACAGATTTCAGTGGACTTAGGAGCAAAAGGCAAGAGAGAAGGGGTAAGAAAGAAGTAGGCGAGGGAGGTAACTGTAGGGATGCAGAGTTGAGGAGAGTTGTTTTTCTTAATATGGTAGAAGTCTGCACAAATTTCAAGGTTGGTGGGAAAGACACAGTAAAGACGAAGAGGTTTAAGATAAGAGAGAGCAAGAAGATAATACGAGGAGATCTCTGAAGTACAGGAAGGGAGGCTTCCTTCTTCTGGAAGACTCCTCTGACCTTCCTCTGCCCCTTCTGTTCTCCATCCTCCCCAGGACAGCTTGGATCAAGTGGGTATAGGTCTATTATTGTCTTAACCAGTGGAATTGTAATTTTGTTTATGTCACTATCATGCCAATGGGTTAGGGGCTTAATTAGGAAAAGGTTCACTTCGGATTCATCTTTTCATCCCCAAGAACTAACACAAATCTGGCACATAGTAGATACTCAGTAAATATATGATGAATGAATGAATAGACAAAGTAGACATATGGACTGATGGATTCAGTAAGTATATCTTGAATGCCTACTGTGTGCCAGGCTCTGCTCTGGCTCTGGTATTTGAGGAGCAGAAAACAAAGCCCATGAACAAGTGAACTGAGGCAAGGACACAAACAGACATATGGAGGAAAAAGAAAAAAGCAGACAAATGAAACATCATGAACAAGCACTTCATAAATTCAAGAACGCTTATGCTTTAGAAGGGACACCATGCCTCTTCACAGCCAATTTTTTCATGTATGAGGGGAGGATTTACTTACCATTTATTAGGATTGATTATAGTCTTGCTTCCTCGTTTTCTGTTTTTCATGATACTTGTAATCTGTGAATCACTTGCTTGAAGTTGCCTTTCTCCATAAACTCTTGAAAGTGGATTATACTGGTTTTCCAGCCCTTTACCAAAAGAGAGACATAGCCCCAAGCTTCCAGAGTACAGTAGTGTTAAAGCCCTGACTGTGGATTATTTTAATGTGCCTTCCCACTCAGGACCCCTGGTCATCATTATGTTCTCCTACAGAGATTAATCAGAAAACAGGAGAACGGAGGTGGGGAAACACCCATACAAACATTCCCCTGCAGGCCAACAGCCACTAAAAGCAGGGTTTTAGGAGATGTTGCTCAAACATTTGAGTCATTAGTGTACATCCCAGGAACACCTGGGCCCCATAGATGGGCGTGCTTGAGTGATTTAGGCAACATCATACAATAACATTACAATGATGCCAAGAAGCTATCTTAGATCACTTATGCAAGTGACAGAAAATTTATCCAAACAAGTATAAAGGGAATATGGCAGTCACTTGGAACATTTAAACAGTAGTGTACTAGGGTTGGTGTCACCCAGTGCAGTAACTCATGGTGTCACCCCCTCATGCTAACTACCACAATACTGTAGCTAAAACACCAGAAAAATTGACAAAATCAGCCACTATAAAAACACTGGCAGCAACAAAAACAACAGCACGTGTGCTTGTAGCTCATGCAGATGAAACCATGTGATTCAAAGCACACTTGTATCTGGGTAATAATGACAGCTCTGACCAGAGTGCATTAGAAGGTTCAAAAAGTAAATTAGCATAGAGTTTAGGCTTGTAGGTATACTGATACATGTAAGCTGGGCTTATGAAAAAAATTTTTTGTTGTTACAAGTAACTACAGAGATTTTTTAATCAAAAAGAATATACTTCTGATGAAACACTGCACAAAAATTTTATAGACAGTCATTTTGGTGTCACTCCCTCTGGCAGTGTCACCCGGTGAGGTTTGCACCCTTCGTACCCCTCTAGTGATGTCACTGCATTTAAGAATCCACATCCTGAAGGCTCTTGGAGATCTGAGGCTAATCAACACTTCTTTTCCCTTTACTTAATTCCCTTACTGTAGTCATATGTTCAAAAGAAGAATAGAATCCTTCGATGGCTCTTTTTATTCTGAAACCCAGTTTCTAACCTTGGTTTGACCCTTTACTCTTGTACATTGATGCTCTTTCCTCAATGATGTTATCTAATTCAACAATCACTTCTACATTGATTGTTCCCAAATTCTTGGCTCTGAGCTCAGACCTACATTTCAATCTTCCTGTCGAATATCTGGGTGTCCCTCCAATACCATAAAGCAAACACGCTCAAAACCAAACTCATCCTCTTCCTTCACAAAACCAGTTCCGCCACCTGACTTCCCAGCTTCTGTTAATGGTGCCACTGTTGTACTGCAGGAGAAGGATGTGGCAGTCTGCTTTCATAAAGATTACAGCTTTGGAAACCCTATGGAGCAGTTCTATTCTGTCCTATAAGGTTGCTCTGAGTTGAAATCAACTTGATGGCAATGGGTTTGGTTTTTTTGGTTTTACTGTTCTACCAGAAACCTCAGTCATCTTTGACCCCTTCCTCTCTTTTATCCTTCCCTTACATCTCTTCTTAAATTCGATTGCAAAGTATTCTAGGACCCAGTTTTAGCATGTCATTCCCATCCATCCTCCTTAACATTCATCTCCATCTGTTATTCTCATTACCTCCACCCTAGTTCAAATTCTTACCTCTTCTCATCTGGACTATTGTAAGGAATCTTGGTGGCCCAGTGGTTAAAGCACTCAGCTGCTAACCAAAAGGTCAGCGGTTTGAACCCACCATCTGCTCCACAGGGAAAAAGACGTGGCAGTCTGCTTCTGTACAGATTTGCAGCCTTGGAAACCCTTTGGGGAAGTTCTGCTCTGTCCTGTAGGGTCACTATGAGTCGGAAATCGAATGAATGGCAGTGAGTTGTTTGGTTTTGGACTACTACAAACACTATTATTGGGAAAAGAAAACTTCACAACCAGAGAAACCTGGATTCAAACCCTGGTTTCATCCCTTTCCAGTTGTGTGATTTGGACCAATTTTCCCAAATCCACTAAATTTTCATTTCCTCATAAAAATGATGGCTCATTTCAAGATTATGTAACATAACGCATGTTAAAGAGCCTAGCACATAATTATGCTCAACTAATGCTACTTTATTTCCCTCACACTTACACATCCACCCCAACCTGGTACCTTAACTGATCTCCTTTCCTCTTTAGTTCATTCCACATATCACTTACTGCTCCAAGGATCAATGACTCTTCCCCCAAAGAGTGTTCTCATGATGTCTTTCTGTACTCATAAGCCTCTAATGTCTTCCCCTTTTCTACAAAAACAACACCCAGCTCCTTCCTTGCCCTCCACAGTATCACCAAGCTACTTTCGCATCCTCCATCTTCCAAATTGGCCTTCTCAGTCTTCCCCAAACACCCCATGTTTTTACCATGTTGATCTTTCGACTTGTTATGTCTTTCTCATTAATCTCTACCAGTCAGAATTCTACCTGTCCCTTAAAGAAGGAACTCAAATGCTATCCCCTTTATGAAGCTGAATTCAGATAACTACATAGAATTTCTTCTGCTTTTAAATCCCACTTCACTCTCTCAATATCTGTATTATGGTATTTGTTAAAATCTACTTCATACTATGGTCATTTGTATACTTGTCTTATCCCAGTGTAAGACTGTATCCTGTCTAACTTATTGTTTATCTCTAAAGCCTCGTACATTCATTTACTCAGCATTCAAGAAATGGACTGAATTGATTTTAAGGCGATGTCCCTAGAATAATAGCACTCATCTGTTAGAATAAAGACTCCACAAGGGCAGTAATTTTTGTCTATTTTAATCAGTGATATATTCCAAGCATCTGAAACAGTGCTTAAAATACAGTGCGTGCTCAAAAAATATCTAATGAATGATTTTATAATGCAACATTTTCCCTGAGCCAAGAAAAAAATCCCATATAATCCATTTTTTTAAGGTTATGCCAATTAGTAAAACCCAAGCTCTGCATGGGGCCCTCGTGGCACAGAGGTTAAGAGCTCAGCTGCTAACCAAAAAGGCAGTTCGAATCCACCAGCAGCTCCTTGGAAACCCTATGGGGCAGTTCTACTCTGTCCTATAGGGTTGCTATCAGTCAGAATCAACTGGACAGCAATGGGTTTTTGGTTTTTTTAAAGCGCTGCACAGTCTTATAATCTCAAAGCAGGGATATTATATCCCTGTATCACTGACAGGAAAGGGGCACCAGGTGTTCACCCAGGGAGAGCACCAAAAGAAGGAGAGCCCTGTCCACATGCCCTCGGGTGCCCTTCCCCAAACAGGCTTCTTCACAGCTGCCTGATACCCTCCACTTGCCCAATATACACCTCTCTGTCTGGCTTAGACACCGGGCCTGCAGTTTGGCAGGGGTATAAATTAAAGCCCAAGAGAACAATCACAGGAATGCTGGCCTCTGGAGTTAAGGCCAGCCAACTATATGATTCAGGCACTGAATGTCACCTCCCTTGGCTTCAGTCAGAATCCTGTGAGGAATCATTCACAAGCCCAGTCAGGGTCAAAAAGACACTGCTGAGTTGGTCAGGATCCATAAGCAGGTGGCAGACACCATTTTGCTGGCTCTGACCAATCTTTAAACTGTGTCTGTAGATCTAGCCTGTTCACTCCCTGTTATGGTGGGTTGGGAGCAAAAAGAGAATGGGGAGCACAAAACCTTAAAAGTCAGACAGACATGGTTCTGAATGCTTACTCCACCATTAACTAGCAGTGAGGCTGTGGGCATATTATCAACCTCCCAGGCTTCAGATTTCTTATCTCTAAAATAAGACTAATAATACCTTCCTTACAACATTGTTGTAAGAATTAATGATAATATATGCAAAACATCAGGCCCATAGCTATTGTTGTTGGTGTTATTACTATTATTAGAATAGAAAATCAAAGGAA